CACCCATCGATCTATGGCTCTAAAGCCCTTTGCTGGGCCTTGGCCGCTTTTTCAGTTTCTAGATTTTTTTATACAGCCGGTTGGACTCCTTAGACGGGGGATGAGCCCGTCGCAAGGCCGCTACCTACACACAGAACAACACAAACACAGACTAAACGTACACCGACATCCATCCCCCAAGTGGGATTCGAACTAGTGTTTGAGCGGGCGAAGACAGTTCATGCCCAAGACCGCGCGGCCACTCTGATCGGGGGTCTGTTCATTAGTTCACTAGAAATAATTCACTGAAATAAAGTTTAACACGCGAATTTTCTATCGGTAAATTCCCACTGGCGTTCCATTCACAGCAGGAGCGCTATGAAGCCGATAGCTGAGGAGTGTCCACAACTTCAGTGACCCGCTGCCTGAGTTGGCCATCTGCCATGTACACCCATACGCATCGCTTCTGGTACAACTCCACAAGAAAAACTTGTTGGGCGTCAATTTCTGTGATTTCGGAGGCCAAGTGATGCGTTCTTGCCTCCCCGTCCACTGTCCAGGCCCGGTCATTTGGCCTCGAAGAACAGCAAACCAAACGCCCTACGACTTATTACGTAAATGTAAAGCTATCCCTGTAACAGGCCGTGGAGACACATAGGGTTGTGAGACGTCGAGGCTCCCACATTTTCTAGACATTCGGCTCACATATGTCGGCACCGTAGTTCTGTGCTACAAGGCGGAAGATCGAGGGTTAAATTCCTGATGAGGTCATTAGAGTTTTCAATTGACCTATTCCTTTCAGCCGCACTATGGCCCTGGGGTCGACTCTGCCTGTAACAGAAATGTGTACCAGGTATCTTCCTGGCGGTAAACAGCGGCCGGAGCGTAAGACTGACTTCGCAACTATCTGTGAGCAGAATGTCTAGAAAATGTGGGAGCCTCGATGTCTCACAAACCTATGTGCCTCCATGGCCTGTTATAGGGATAGCTTTACTTATCTTTACCTCGTGATTTCTTCTTGTTGTAACAATAACTGCAGAGATGGTCTGAAATCAGTCAACGGCTATTTATTTACCATTCTACCAAAAGCACGTAAGTCGAAATTTATTGACAAACTTTTTGAGTTAAAATTGATTTCGATGATTTTTTTTTAAATATGTGTAATGGTTAATGAAATACAGCCTCCTAATATCCCAGAGTGGCTGTCGGGACACTCTGTGCATTTCCGCTTCGTTAAATATGTAATACTGTAGAGGACATCAACGGAAGTGGAGCTTAAGGTTAGGGTATACGAACAAAGAATTAAATTCCCTCGAAAAAATTTAGTATAGACACGTAACATTTAGTTTAGTCAAAATTCAATTCGTATTTTCGGAGATGCAACACGTGGACAGACCCAATTTGATATATGAATTTATACATTTGGGTCAAAGGACACTCAACAAAAATAATGTTACATGCGACTTGCGCAGTCACTGATACTGTATTTCAGGCACCAGAATTTTACGTACACCGCTAGTACTTTACTTGCGAAAGAAACTTTTTCGTTTTACAGAGAATTGGTTTAGTATCATGTCGCAATCCGTTGGACAGCAAGCGCATATTAATATGCCGGACCATCCCACTGCATTCAACCGTAACTATGTACTGGGCGTTACATGCAGTGGCTCTAACAGAAATGAATAAAACATAGGCCTATACTTCGCATAATGACCCAGGGCCTACACTTCACATTTACAGCACTGACATGAAATATAAAACATAATTTCCAGCTATAATAACAGGTCGCAAAGATATTCTTGTGTTAGCACCAAGATCTTCCACCGGGTTCAACACCCGGTCACTATACGCGCTTACATACTGTGACATGTACACCCATTTCTATGCAAAACCCGAAATATGCGCACGCAACAATAGAAAATGTATTAGAAGAAGTGTTTTCTATATGTTCCGCCCCATGCCCAGTTCTAGGCAACAGGCCGATAAACATGAATTCTGACAAAAGATGAGGAATTTATTATGTGGTCCGCGCCATGCCCGGTGCTGGGTAACGGGCAAATGAACACGCATTCTGACATGTGACACGCGTTTTCCGTGAGGTTCGACCTGAGTCTATATAACGAGAGATGAAAAATAACTGGGAGTTCAGTTCAGTAGTTCAGCTCAGTTGAGGGTTCAGCTATGGAGTGCTAACCAGCGGATAATGGAAGCTAATATTCGGTACCAGGAAACGTCTAGTAAAGATAATGCAAAGTATAGTAACTGCCACTGCGGAGAGCTGTTACCAAGTAATGACTAGTGGAAATAGACTGAGAAGACAGTGTGGAGTGATTTGTAGTTTGCAGATCAGCAATAGTGTTAGTTATTTGCAGTTACGACGTGTGGGTGGTCAATAAGTCTATTCACCAATCCAAACCTCGTCTATAGTCACCAATACACGTTGACAGTATTTATTTAAAGACTCCTCCTCAACTACACTGATTATGTGTCATCAAATGGAAGTCATTTGCTAATAAATAAATTTATTGATAAAATACGTGGAAGGGGCAGAAACCATCAGTCTCATAGAAAGAAGATGTGGGCTTGTGTACTGGACAGGGTCATTTGGCTCATATGAGCACGGTAACAAGCTTTAGGTCCCCATAACAGCAGGAAATGTCTTGACCAGCTGCGTATCTATCAACTATTCAAGACATCACTAAGTCAAATCCAAAGCTGCAAGAGTAGCAGTACAACAACACTGAAATTGTATATAGCACTCCGAGGTACTGGTAAAATATTCACGGTGTGTGGACACCCCTGGTATCGTGACAGCTAAATGGATTGAGAATGAAGACGAAAGAGAGTGAGTGGTGAGTTGCCTACCTGCGTGAAGTACGGGGGCAGGACGCATCTCTGGTCGTCTAGCCGGCTGCTCTGCACTCTCTCCAGCAGCTCAAACAGGTCCTGAGTAGCATTCTGAAACAAAACAGTGTCAGTGTAACTAACCGGGACTCCCCCCATACGGTCGGGGCCATTCTACATCAGAAAACATGACAACGCAACTCACTCACGAGTTTTCGTATTGTTGCTCTCGGGTTTTCTTAACAGAAAGAAACGCACAAGCATAATGTTCTCTTTAGCACAGAATATGGAAATTATTATAGAACATATTCCTAGCATCAGTGCACATTCTTCGCCCGTTTTTCAAACCCTGCCTTTTCCCAGACCATTAAAACCGCCCCTTTTCAAGGCCACCAAAATTCCTGTTCGTCTCCTATTGGTTCGGTCGGTGATCATGTGAGAAACCAGCGATTTCATTCTGTTTCTCGGCGAGCCAATGGGAACTGAGGTCTACTCTCCCATTTCCTTCTGATTCCTATATATTCGGAGAGCCCAGCGGTTTCATTCTGTCCCATAGCGAGCCAATGGGAACTCAGGTCTACTCTTCCATTTCCTTCTGATTCCTATATATTCGGAGAGCCCAGCGGTTTCATTCTGTTTCTCGGCGAGCCAATGGGAACTGAGGTTCACTCTTCCATTTCCCTCCGATTACTATATACTCGCAGAGCCCAGCGGTTTCATTCTGTTTCTCGGCGAGCCAATGGGAACTGAGGTTCACTCTTCCATTTCCCTCTGATTACTATATACTCGCAGAGCCCAGCGGTTTCATTCTGTTCCTCGGCGAGCCAATGGGAACTGAGGTTCACTCTTCCATTTCCTTCTGATTCCTATATATTCGGAAACCCCAGCGGTTTCATTCTGTTCCTCGGCGAGCCAATGGGAACTGAAGTCCACTCTTCCATTTCCTTCTGATTACTATATACTCGGAGAGCCCAGCGGTTTCATTCTGTTTCTTGGCGAGCCAATGCGAACTGAGGTCCTCTCTTCCATTTCCTTCCTGCTTCCTATATAATCCGAAATCTCTGGCTAGCCGATTACTCTGCTTGTCACCTGCTTTCACGCTGGTATCTTAAACCTGAAAATGGAGGCGATATGTTCTTCCGAAAGGTGGATTTTCTTTCAATAGACTACACTACATTATACACGTATCCCAGAATTAAATTTCTACATACAACTTAACAAACTCCACAATGAATATAAACGTCAGTAGGGCAATTTAATATGGTAACTGATATATGAACGTTAATGCACTGTATGATACAAACAGTAAAACATTCTTACTATTAAATTCAGATGCAAATATGAAAGAATGTGACATAACACATGTTCTGGTTTCTCTTGCACGCCTTGTGTAACTTGCATATAAAAGGAACAGGACGTAGTATTGCATTTCAGTTTTGTTCAGGAAAAATATAGTATATAAAAGCAATTATAGGTTACTTATTTGCACGCGTGTCACGAACTTACTGTATGCAGGCTTAATGAAACACAGCTTTACACAGCAGCCCCACCTACACTGAAAGAACCAGTTTAGTTGAAATATAAATTAAATAAAATACAAACGAGAGGAAACCTTTGAGTACGGTGTATGTGTCAGTAAATTATTTACGATTTACAGTATTTATATAAAATTCTATCATATGGAATACAAATTTATTCAGTAATATTTGCTATTAAGGTAGCTGTCGAAAACTTCCTCTCTAAAAAACTAATTTATAATTGGTTTGTTCAACTATATAAAGTAATTCTGATTGCTCCGGTGAAGATTTTTGTGTTTTCTTCGTCCGTAGAAGCAAGCAAACCACATGTATGTTAGCTAATCGTAATCCTCAAGCACGGTCCATTTTGACTACCGAAATCAGCCTCTGAACATGCGCATGCGCGTCTGCTACCTAGATTGTCATGAAGCTGGACTGTGCTGCTACCTAGTGATACAAATAGAAAACCCATTAAGTCCATTACAGCTGCTTTGCTTCCAGTTGTGACCTATTTACTGACTCCCTCGTGCCGCAATCCATCAATGCTATATATCACAGTACGCCATACTTTGCGAAGGCAACCTTACAAAAGAAAAGACCTGTGTAATATGTTTCAATTTCCCAACGGCGTATTAATTCCGCAAGTATGTTGAAAATAGAATCTAGTAACTGTATAATGATGACGTAATCGTCTACGTGACTAAATTATGATGACGCACTCTCCTTCCAACAGCAGATGGAGGATAACTCTCTTAGGCATGTTTCCAATATCGGTGGGTATAACTGCATTCATGTAGATTCCAAACGGTTCTGACGATGATCCAGTTATCGAGGTTAGCTCTTTCTGAGGGACACAACAGAGTTTGTGTCTTCCTTCTAACCTAAGGACGGAAACAGATCAAATTTCCGAAACGCTGTGTTCTCTAGTTTCTACAATACCGGACGATGGACAAAGAAAAAAAACTAATTCTGAGTGGATTGGAAAATATTTTGTATCAACAATAGATGACCACAATACAAACAACACAAAACAAACTCCGTGATTTTAGTCCGCAAGCGAACTATACCGACCGACCGCCGCTTGTCGGCGAAGTTAGTAACAACTTTAGCGGATAGAGGGTGTCGCGTGGTCAGTGCAACGAATCCCCACGGCCGTTAATTTCGGTTTTCTAGATCTGAGCCGCTATTTCCTTGAAATAACTCCTCAATTATCCTCACGACGCTGAGTGGACCCCGTACCAGACACACTACTTCTTAGAACATTTGGTAGCACCGGGAATCGAACCCAGACCTCTTAACCACTAGACCACGGAGGCGGCTGAAAAATGTCGATAGTTTCAGGAACTGGCGACCAATATTAAGAATTAAAATGTGCAAGAGAGATGGGAAAACTATTGGCTACAAAGGGAGCCAGCATAGCTCTGTCGGTATAGTGACTAGGCTATGAGCTGCAAGACCGGGGTTCGATTTCCTGCAGGAGAAAGAGATTTTCTCTTCTCCATAACGTCCAGGAAGACTCTGGGATCCACCCAGCCTCCTATTAAATGATAAAAGTGGGTTCTTTTCCCGGGTGGGGGGGGGGGTGAAGCTGACCACTCACCTCCATCTAATGCTGAGGTAAAAAAATTATGGAGCTATACCTCCAGTCCGCCATAGTGCTTAATTACATAATTAAGTACAGGGGCAACTTTACCTTCCCTTTACATGCTAGGAAGAAAGTAAATAGAAGTGTAATAAATAAACCAAGTGGTGCATATGACGATGTACCCAGAAATATCAAGGCGGCTGGTAATTAATGATGCAGCAACACAAACCGCAAATTAAAGTTGACTTAACTGCCACGCCTCTGAGAAACGCGTAACATGCTCAGTACACTGCAAGGACGCAGTCCCTCACTCCTCCCTTCTACCTATCCATCAGCCCACATGCACCTCGCCATCCATCCATCCCCCAGCCCTTCTTTACACCCATCTGCACTCCTACCCGTCCACCCATGCACCGCCCCGACTACCTATCACCCTTCGATCCATCCATTTAACTATGTACTCATCCACCTAATCATGCATCCATCTGCACATCTAATCCATCCATTCAGTAACACATTCCCTCATGAATCCACTTCTCCACTCACCCACCCAGCCGGTGGAGTCAGAAGTGATCAACCGCTTCAGCTCAGGGCTTGGCGGCGTCTAATTGCTGAAATTATTATTATATAATTGTGACACATAGACATGGCTAGGCAACGATTCGGCAAACACATTCCGCGGGAGCCAACGCGCGCAACAATAGGACGTCTATTGCTAGGCAACGGATCGGTAAACACATCCCTAACAATAGTGGCTGCGTTTTCTGCGTGGTCCGTGGAAAGTGATTATAAAGAAATCTTCGGCATATAGAGCAGTAAGCAAAGAAGTAAAGAGCAGAGTTTCGAGACGGCAGCCTGCCAGGATATGAGCTTGGAACAGAATTGAGTCGAGTCTTCGGAATAGACAATTGAAGAAGAATGGTAAGAAAGGACTTAGGCTGTGAAAAAAGACTTCACGTGTGATTTGAAGTCACATTGAGACGGTTATGAATCCGTTGCCGGGATACGACTAGTGAAGACTGAGAATCCTAGTGTAACGGTGAACTGTAAATTGAGTAAATCAGCGATAGCGCTGTATTGAGTGTAGTCCCGAGTTATGAATGTATAAGGTGCAATAAATACAACCATCCAATCCAAAACCCCGTCTATGGTCACTCATATATCATGACAGTATCTTAAATAAATAAGGATTCAGGTTGCGTACTGTATACTTCAGATTTCAGAACCTTCAGGTTCTATGAAAGACGCGGAATTTCCTGACTAGCTGAACTACTATTAGCTTTACAAAAAAGGGTCCTGCTCGCAATCTGGCACATATTAAAACGGTACAAAGGTGAGAGCTCTTCCCAGCTGCTAAACAATACAGCACTTGTATCCGCGTGTACAGTACAAGCCAATACAGTGTAAACTTACGTCCGATATGAATGCGCAGTCAGACAGCCTCTCACACCTCGGCCAATGGGATTGTTTGGCAGGCACTGGGAAAGATGACATGCCACTTTTTGTCTTCCCTATTTCACATGCCAGCCCCAGCGTTTCCCCTCCACAAACGTACAGTTCTCTGTACCGCGTGAGTGTGCTGGCATACTGCAACATGCGGTCAGTTGATCACAGCCACTGCTTGTTTTTGTGGCGAGCAGAGTGCGTGAGGGAGACAGCTGTGTTCCCAAGAGGCCATACACTCCGTGATTTTAGTCCGCAAGCGAACTATACCGACCGAGCGACCGCCGCTTGTCGGCGAAGTTAGTGCCTATTTTAGCGGACAGAGTGTGTCGCGTGTTCAGCGTAACGAATCTCCACGGCCTTTAATTTCGGTCTTCTAGACCGGAGCCGCTATTTCCTTCAAATAGGTCCTCAGTTATCCTCACAGGCTGAGTGGGCCCCGTTTCAGAACCACTACTCAGAAAATCTGTTAGTGCCTGGAATCGAACCCGGACCTCTGGATCTGTAGCCAGGAATGCTGACCACTAGACCACTAGACCACAGAGGCGGTCTGAGGACATACACTACTG